TTACAAAATCTAGCTTTTATAGTAAGCCGACTAAGTCGATATGAATAGCTTGAAGTCCATGCCACCTTGTCTTGCGTCCTTCAACAGATCATGGGCCATCCCAGGACCCATCCAAGTAGTACCCCCGTGGGGAACCCCAAGGACCCTAGTCCATCATAGCCTCTCATGAGTAGTATTGAGCTCATCAAAGGATTGCTCAAGAGATTTGACCTTACGCAATTCTTTACACTCCTTCTTTTCATCTCAAAGCAAGTATGAACTTGCTCCAACATGTACATGAGCTCCTCCTTTGAGTACTCATCATCATCATCACTCCTACAATCATCACTTTCACAATCATCATTATCACTCACATCATATTTTACCTCGGTAGGCTTTGCCATGAGGCAAGTCGATAGAGTGTCAAAGATGGAAGGCTTGTTGTTGACGGTGATGCTTGCTAGTGCCTTCTTGAGAGACTTCTTGTCATCATCATTATAAATCATCATCATCCAATGAGCCATCACTATCCTAACTTACCACATAGCCTCCACCCTTCTTCTTTTTCTTGAATGTCATCTTCTTCTCTTTCTTTTCCTTCTTCTCCTTCTTATCTTTCTTCTTCTCATCATCATCATTGTCACTATTGTAGGGACATTCTGCTACAATGTGATCCTTGCTCTTGCACTTGTAGCATCTCCTCACATACTCCTTGTTGTGATATCTTCTCTTTCTTGCACCATAGCCCTTCTTCTTCATGAATTTGCCCATCTTACGCATAAAGAGAGCCATGGCCATATCATCAATATCACTAGCATTTTCCACTTGATTCTTCTTTCTTTGCTTTGCCCTTGCTCTTGGATGAGGTGCTAGCCTTGAATGCTACACTCTTCTTCTTCTTCTTGTCTTCATCCTTCTTCTCATCTTGGTCAACCCCCTCCCTTTCCACACGGTATGTCTCTTGTGTCATGACATCACCTAGTACTTGGTTAGGAGTTATATCCTTCAATCCTCCTCTTATGACAATCAATCTCAATGTCTCAAATATAGGAGGTAAGCACATCAAGAACCGATGAGAGACATCATCATCATTTATCTTCTCACCCAAAGCCTTCAAGTCATTGATGATCACTTGCAATCTATGGAACATCTCCGGAATGCTGTCACCATCCTTTATCTTGAAGCTTGTCAACTTGTCGTTGAGGATGTAGAACTTGGCACTCTTGACCACCAGTGTGCCCTCATAAGTTTCTTCCAATCTCTTCCACACCTCACTAGCTCTATCACAATCCTTGATTTGCTCAAACACCTTAGAATCAATGATATTGTAGATGGTGTTGAGAGCCATTATATTGCATTGCTTATTGGCCTTGTCTTGGTTGGTAAGATTGGTGGGATCAAGAACTATATAGTCACTTTCGGTCATATCCCACACTTGATCATTGATTGAACCAAGATACATCTTCATCTTTCTCTTCTAATGTGCATAGCATGTACCATCAAAAGAACGGTGGTTTGCCCCCCATATGGTTTAACACAACTTGAGCCATCTTTTGACACCGAGGTTGTTAAGTCTTCAATCAAATGGTGACCATGGCTCCGATACCACCTGAAAGGTCCTAAATGGCTAGAGAGGGGAGTAAATAGCCTATAAAATTTTTCTACAAACTCACTAGAACAAATGGTTAGTACACTAAATGGTGTAATACAATTTTGCTCTAGCTCTACAAGGGTAGCAAGCCACCTATACCAATAATTCTAGTTGCTATGATCTCTAGATTCACACAAAGCCAATGTCACTACTCTCTAAGCTAGTGAGCTCTCAAAGACTAACTAAAGAGCCTCACTAACCAAACTAACAACCTCTCAAAGACTAACTACACTAAAGAGCTTGACTAGGCAAGAAAGTAAACAATCTAAATACAAGAGAGAGTGTAGGAAGATTATACCGCCGTGTTAAGTGAGATGAACCAATCAATGAATGCCCAATCAATCACCGAGAGAAATCCAAGAGACAAGTGACACACAATTTTTCTCCCGAGGTTCACGTGCTTACCGGCACGCTAGTCCCTGTTGTGTCGACCAACACTTGGTGGTTCGGCGGCTCATAGGTATCACACACCTAGCCAACACTTGGCCCTGCAAGAACCTACCTACAAGTGAGGTAACTCAATGATATGAGCAATTTACTAGAGTTACCTTTCGGCTCTTCATCGGGGAAGGTACAAGACCCCTCACAAATCACCGGGAGATGGCTATGAACAATCATCAACTCATGCCAATCCTCCTCCGCTGCTCCAAGCCATCTAGGTGGCGGCAACCACCAAGAGTAACAAGAAATCCGCAGCCACAACAATCCTCCAGTGCCACTAGATGCAATCACTCAAGCAAATGCACTAGGAATCACTCCTAATCTCACTATGATGATGAATCAATGATGGAGATGAGTGAAAGGTGTTTGCTTAGGCTCATAAGGATGTCAAGTATGTTAAAATGCCAAGAGAGTGAGGCAAAGGCCGACCAAGGTCTATTTATAGACCCCAAGAAAATCCAACTCTTATGCACCTCGGGGGTAATCGGACTCTGTGACCGGACTCACCCTAGAGTCTGATCAGTTCCATCCGGTTGCTCCAGCCATCCAACCACAGTGCGCCATGTCACTCCATTCAAATTTGACCGTTGTGCGCCCACGCGCGCATGCCCTAGTCAAGGACCGAACGCGCCCCTCGCTCGACCTGACTTTGAGTGCCCCAGTGTCAGGTCATTTCTAGTAAGCACTCAGAGAGCTTTTTTATTGACCAGACACATGCAGTCGTAGTTGACCTAATGCGCCAGGGCATCCGATCACTACAGCGCAATCACTCAAAGGCTACGTCAGCGTACGTCAGCCAAGACCTGACACACCACCTGCACGTCTGGTCGCTCCTCGTCTCCAGCGTCCGATCACAAACCGAGCCACGCCATCTCTACTGCACGTGACCTGACTCAGCGCTAGAGGCTGGTCCCTATGTTTGGTCATGCCACAGAGGTAGACCGAGACCCTAGGGTTTAGCACCGGACGCGTCCGATCATGCCGAGACCAGCGTCCGGTCATCACCCTTGCTTCCAAGTTGCTAACCATAGTGTGTACAACTCTTGTGCTCATGTGTTAGCATTTTTCAAGGGTCAATTGTTAGCACATTAGGTCCCTAAATGCATATGCAAAAATCATGTCATCTAGTGGCACTCGATAACCACTTAGCCAAAGATTTTCCCTCTTTATAGTACGGCTATCGATCCTAAACACACTCACACCCTCTATGGTGTCTTGAGTGCCAAAACAAAAACCTATTTGATACCTTTACCTTAATCCCCTTGGTTTCTTTTCTCTTTCTTCTTTTCCAAGTTGGAGCTTGATCACCATCATCATATGTCCATCTCCATCTCCATGGACCTCTCACTTGCTCCATCACTTGGTGTGTACCAACCTAGCTCATGATCACACTTGATGACATAGGTTAGTACTTAGGTTTCATCAATTATCCAAAACCAAACTTGGGCTTTCGAACACCCTAAAATACATCTAAAACATAACATGTATACTTTGTGAATATTGCAAAAATCACATTTATACTATGTGAACTGTGAACATCCCAAAATACACAATAGAACGTCACATGTATACTAGGTAAACATCACATGTATCAAAGCCAAATGTTTTGTATGTGGTGTTACCTACAAATACAGAAGGCACATCACAAATGCAAGTGGTCGAGCATAATTGGACAAGCGGCAGGGGCCATTCTTTATAATCAAGTCTTAATCATCTATTAACAGTAAAAAAAGTTATTGTTTAGCAGGTGGAAATTTTATTGGGCAGGGGCGCCATGGCCCAGCTTGGTCTGAACCAAGCTCCGCCCCTGACAAATGCACAAATTATTTCTATAGTTAAGAAAAACAAATATAGAAGACACATTATAAATGCACAAATTATTTCTATAGTTAAGAAAAACAAATATAGAAGACACATTATAAATGCACAAATTATTTCTATAGTTAAGTAAAGCCAAATATTTTGGTATGTAATGTAATCCAGACAAAATGCAGAAGATACATTACAAATGTACAAATTATTTGTATAGTTAAGGAAAGTCAAATGTTTTGGTCCCTCATGTAAGACAAATGCAGAAAACACATCACAGATACACCAATTATTTCTGTAGTTAAGCAAACCAAATGTTTTAGCATTTGATGTAAACGTGACAAGTGCAAAGACACTACATGAATGCATAAATTATTCACTTAAGCAAAGCCAAATGCTTTGGTACATGATGTAACATAGACAAATGCAGAAGACATGTCACAAGTGTGCAAATTTCTATAGTTAAAGCAAAGCCAAATGTTTTGACATATGATGTAACCAAACAAATATACAAGACACATCTCAAATCCATAAATCATTTCTATAGTTATGGAAAGCCAAATGTTTTTTATATGCGACATAACCCAAATGCAGAAAGACACACCTCAAATGTACAAATTATTTCTATAGTTAAACAAAGCTAAATGTTTTTGGAACGTGATGTAACCGAGACAAAGGTAGAAGACACATCACAAATGCACAAATTATATCTATAGCTAAGTAAAACCAAATGTTTCGGCGGATTATGTAAGACACATAAGAAATGCATAAATTATTTTTATAATTAAATGAAGTCAAATATTTTTGATATCTGATATAACCCACACAAATACAATCATATCTCATGGAATAAAAAATAAAATAAAACCAAATTTTAATTAGAGTAAAATGAAAAGGAGGAAAAATTTTAAAAATAAAATAAAAATGAAAAATAAGAAAATCCACAGAAAACATAAAAGAAAAGAGAGAGGGAAAATAGAAGAAAAGATAGAAAAACGAAAAAGGAATAAAACATGAAAACAAAGAAAATGATTAATTATTATCTTTATGCCTCCCAAAAACACCGTTTATTTGCTCTGCTCCTAATCCATATTGGTTCACGTCAGATGTGCCTTCGCGGATGACGACCATCTCGTCGCCTACAACCTGTAAGTCTGTCCATTGGACCAGGAGAAGAGAACAAGTAAATAACGGCCCAATCAGTCACCTGCAGCCAAAGCCCGTATCACCGGACGCGCGGAAGAAGTGGTCGACGCCGGCCCGTTACCCCCATCCGACTGGCGTTTGCATGATGTGTCTGTCCTATACCAAGGCGATGGACGTGCTCCTGGCGATCTTCCACCACCTCGACCACACAACATCCTGATCTCCGCGGACCAGGTGTGCCGCTCCTGGCGCCGCGTCGCGCGGGAGGAGCCCCCGCTGTGGCGCCGCATCACCATGCGCGGGCACGAGGGGATCGCGCGCAGGCTCAACCGCGGCGGCATGGCCTGCGAGGCCGTGCGGCGCAGCGCAGCGCGGGCCACTGCGAGGCGTTCTGCGGGCAGTACGCCGGGGACGACGGCTTCCTTATCTACCTCACTGAACAGTAAGAATCAGAATCGTCCTCTTGAGAAAAAAATTTACCGCTTGATTGATATTGCACTTCTTCATTTGATTCGGTTGCTAGCTGTCTCGTTGCTTGCCGACCAGCTGTTGTTTGAGTGTAATTTTGATATGTGTTTTCACCTCATTCATAACCTTTTTTTTCCCGTGTTACTGTCTGATCTGGTTGTTGTCCAAAATTAGCTGTCCAAAATTAGCCAGCTTCCTGTCTTTTCAGATTTGTGACTTAGGCCATAATGTTATTTTATCAGCTAGGAATGGTTCTAAATTTAAAATCTAGAAAGAATGTCTGTTGCAGGTCTATTCAGACTTTGTATTGTGGTCACAAATTTTGCAGGGCGAATTCATACACTGATCATGTGTCTGTAATATGTTTTTTGCAAAATTGGGAAGACCGCTCCTAGATACATCATACAACTACGCCTTTAAGCATTGTTTGTAGTTTTTGTCCAGACTTTTATCACCTTTTTTCATTAATTGTCATCAAAGATGCCAACTTATCAAACGTCGTTTCTACCTATCCCTAGTATATACACTTTTAAGGTTGAACTGGCAAGGAAAAGATGTACCTCATCATATACCACCCTAGAGTATAGCAATATTCAACTTCATTATATGATTTATGTGCTATAAAAGCACAATAGCTTTTGAGAAGAGAAGGTGGATGGTGGGGACATATCCAAAAACTAGACATATCTGTATGTTTGGTAAACTCTTACAGTTTTTTTTAACGCAAGTAAACTCTTACTGTAATCCTGGCAACTTTGTTACATTCACATATTTTATTAGTTATGTTTATGACTTGAGTGGTATACTAAGTCTGTCCTCAGCAGTAACCACTGCAAAGTTTAGTGTCATAAGCTTATGACAGTTCCTGAAACTTTTGAAGCATTCGAAAATGCACCACTATGGCAAGATTTGAAAAATGTATCTTTGAATTCTGGAATGGATACATGCTTCAGAGTTTATGTTTGTAATTTTTACACCGCTGAAAATTTGTTAATCTTGCATCCTGACACGTAAATTCTGAGTTAGACTTATAGTTCATCCATTACCACAAAATCACTGGTGCGATGAAACTGTGTTTACGGCTTATACCACACATTGGCGTAGTCCCAAAATGTATATATTCAAGTGTCATCACTGCAATGTTTTCTCATACCAGATCTTACACTATATGATTGTTTATACTTGAAAAAAGGTCATCCTACTCCTATATAGTATATATATATATACCATGTGTTCATCCAAAGGAATACATGCATATCTAAACTTATTTTCGTTTTGACAGAAGTTTAGTAGTGCTGAACAACTTTTATCTGAATACTTTCTGGTGCCATTGGATCGTTGATTGTTAAGGCATTGTGCAAATTTTACAGGGCCCCTTGTCTAAAGAGCCTTCGCCTTATTTCCTGCAACCTTGTCTCAAATGAAGGACTTACGGAGGCTGTGAAAGGGCTCCCTCTGCTTGAGGAGCTCGAGCTCTCGCTATGTCCTAACGTTGGTGGTTTTTTTGTGAGCATTGACGTTTGTGGTTATGAGGTTTACAAGTTTGTTAGCGAAGTATGCCCACAGCTGAAGCACTTCAGACTGAACAATGAAGATTTCAACGTTACTAGAGATTGGAACAAGAACAAGGACGTTGGAGGGATTGCAGGTATGCATGGGCTACGCTCCTTGCAGCTTTTTGGCAATGGCATGGACAATGAGGGCCTAGAAACCGTCTTGGACAGCTGTCCCCATCTGGAGTCCCTTGACATACGCCATTGCTTCAACGTCGACATGGATGAGACTCTGCTCCTCAAGTGTGCCAAACTCAAGACGCTGAGGCTTCCTGACGACCCCACTGATGACTATGACCTCGAGATTAAAACACCTATCAGGATGTGTGTGATTGACGATAGCCCTTGGTATTCCGATGAGTACGATTCCTATAGAAACCGGCTCCGCTCTCAAGATTACCTCAACGACTCCGACTCCTAGGATGATACAGATTTCTTTGTTGCGCCATCCCGCTACGAGTCACTACTACACAAACGTTTTTTTTAAGGGGCGGCTCGTAACCCTTTGTAGAGGCGGTTTGTCAGCCGCTCCTACCAAACCGTCTCTACAAATCATGCATTTGTAGGGGCGTTCTCAGGCCGCCCCTATAAATCGATTTATAGGGGTGACTGTAGTACCAGCCGCCCCTATAATACCTGTTTGTAGGGGCGGTTCAGTCTAGAACCGCTCCTACAGTACGTTTTCCCACAAAAAAAATTCAAATTTGCAATTCAAATTCGACCAGAACACTGTTTGTTTCTGCGTATTCCATCCAGCGTTCGCGTTGCCGAACGCCCCACGACCAACGTTTCGATCCGCGTTCGCGTTGCCGAACGCCCTGTGACCAACGTTCCGAACCGCGTTCGCGTTGCCGAACGCCCCGCGACCAGCGTTCCGAACCCCTTAGACTACAAACACAAGAGTATTATATAAACTACATTTACAAGTCTAATTCACAAGAATATATACAATTCATCATTGAATAGACATAATTCACAAGGTAAAATCAATGTCAAATTCTATACACATTGTTATCAACGTCCTAGAGCTAACCTTTTAGTCTCACGAATGTGTTGGTACTGAGGATTACTACCCAAGTCAGACTCTCGGTCATGGTAGGCGCCTTTGACGTGTACAATATGGTCTAATATGAAGTTGCAAAGGTCGCCGACGAGCTCTAAGAGTTAGTCATCCTTGTATGGGTCTCTTTTTATTTCTCTCTCTTCTTTTCACTATAAGAGAACAAGTTTTGGTTTAATATTTCATACCATGTACGAAGTTTTTATACTACGGGTGAAGATGTTCAAACTTACGCTTAAGGGGTGTCTCCTGTAGGCACCGGTGTTACTCATCATAGAACATATATAGTATCCATAATATACACTCACAGGCTTCTGCTTGGGGCACTGTGTGTTTTGCATATGAAAATATTAAGTAATGCTTTTAACATCTATGTAATGGAGTACTGAAGAAGTAAGTTACACTTACCGCACATAGTATTTTTATAGCCAACTTTTCCTTCCTTGCTGGGTCATACCTTCCGTGATGTGTAGTGACATAGAACCTAAATGCCATGTTCGAATTATTTTAGCAAATACAACTTGTTAGTATCCAAAAGTGAACGTTACAAGTATGTATACAAACATATAAGCTAATAAGGATTGTCGATATGTATACGTCTTGAGAATCGATATGAAGTCTTTGTATGTCACTGGGTCCCTATCTATTGAATCAAAGACCCCATGTCATGCTCCTCCCGACATCGACGGCTATACAAATCCAGTGGTTGCTGCATGGATTTAATCATAGAACTAGATAAGCTCTTTTGTATCGAATAAAATATATCAAACAAAGCTTTAAGTATAGAGTTAAACTTACTCGAAGTTGTAGGTAGCCATATAGTAGAGTGCTGTTGGAGAATTTTGAAAGCCAGGGCAATGTATGCTGCAACCTTAAGGGACTCTTCCCTTAGTTTCGCTATACGGATGTGCTCTTTTTCCCGAAGAGTCTTTGCAGCAGCTAGCTCTTTGGCATCCAGTTTCCAAAGTTTAGAGTAATTAAAATTTGTTTGGGCTATAGCTTGAGGGTCTATATACCCGGCTTTCACACTTGGCATTTGTTTGACAATGTGCACTTGCATTCTACAAATCACGGCGTGGGTTAGTTACAACAAAATTCAAAGATTACATTCATATCATATCGAGAGGACAAGGACTTACAGGTACTACGTGCGAATTAGATTCATCTCCATTGCTCCCAAGTGAAAGCATGTCTGCATGTCATTGAAGTTAAAGACAATTTTCTCGGCTGGGCTTCCAAATATGCTGGTGGGGAAGCATGCTTGTATGAGGTCTATGCTCGTTGGGATAACACGCAAGTACCAATCATAGAACCTTCTCATTCCAAGTGGTAGGCGTTGGATGTCCCGGTTTGGTAGGAAGGGCTTGCCTCTTTCATATGTTTTCGGGCAATCCTTTGACCATTTGATGGCATCAACATTTGGATACTGCTTTGCAATTTGGTGGAGTTTGCTAGTGACGGCCTCCTCAGAACCCCATTATGGGACTTTTTTAACTTGGTTTTCAGGCTTGAACTGGTCATGGGAATACCACTTGGACACCGACGAGACGTCATTCATCAGAACATAAACTAGCCTTATGGTGATTGGATGCTTCTTTCAAAGTTCCCATTCAAGCACGTCCTCATCTTCTTGTGCATCACCTTCTTCAGGAGGCAATCGTTGTTCATGTATCAGCTGTGTTTGTTGAGAAGACTATGGCATCTCATCATACACTTGCTTGGTACGAGCTAGAGAAGGTTGTGGCATCTCATTAGGCATATGCTCGCTAGGAGGCGGGGAAGAATGTGGCATCTCAGGAATGTGGTGGTCACGAGACGGTGAAAATATCTTCCCGACCTCAACAACTCGCTCCAAATTTTGGAGAGGGGGATACAGCGAAGAAGCAGTCAATATAATGTCCCGTTTGTGCTAGAGGATGAACTGCCCAATAACTTCTCCGAGTAACACCAGCCCCTCGAGAGTTGCGTAGTCTATCCTCCACTTCATAAACTCGGGCTTCACAGTATGCACCTCGACCCTAGTGTAGTCCGGCGGTATCTTATTATTGTGGTGTAAGCCACTGGGAGGATGTGCCACACCCGTTGCCACCTCCATCACAGTGTTCTACCGGCCATTGAGAAACACCAAGGTGCAACTAGTTGGTTCCCGTATGCGATCGATAGGGGTTGTGGCTGCAGTGGAACCTTGGCTGCTAGGAACTTTCGGAGGGCTGCCAACTAATGCCAGTTCTTCCGGTGGCGTCACTAATATCCGTGGCTCCGTAGACAGTCCTTGCTCCTCTAGCGCCTTCGCAACTAGAGCCTTCACTTGGAGCTTAAGATTAGTCTCCCGGTCTCTGCCATGTTTCTTGTACATGTGCCTATCCTCTTCGAATCCTTGCTTCCAGGTCGTCCTTTTCCCTAGCCCCCTGGTGTGGCCTATGTGCTCCTTGTTTCCCAAGCCAAGGCTAAGCTCGTCCCTCTCTCTGGAAGGATTGAATGAGCCCTTCTCCTTGTCTTCAGCATATTTCAGTGTCCTTGATACTACCTCTTGGGTCTCCGGCTTATCAAAATTAAGATTACTGTCGGATGATTTTGTACTCCTCGCATATATCTAATTCCTTGAGCGTACCTTCAAATTCGTCACATCGATATTCCCAACAGTTGCGGCCTCTTCGTCCATCTTCCTAAACTGCTCTTCCTTGGCATAGTAGCCACCAGGGCCTAGATGATGGTGGTGTTTGTTCCTCTTCATCAGCTCAGTGTTACGGGCACTGAGCTCCAATGCCTTCGGTGAAGTCTTTTGAGCCATGAGCTCCTCCCATTGACTAGGAGTTATTTTGCCAAACTCATTGAAGGGAGTTAACCCCTTTTGGATATACTTTATGTTGAGCTCCAACCTCGAATGTCGGAATGACTCTCCCATCATCTTGAAAGCATTTTTTTACCAGTTCGTGCTTACCCTCCGGAAATCTAAAATTGAGCTTCAGCTGCCTATCCCATAGTTCATTCTTTTTGTTCTCTGATACCTCTTTCCAGTTAGGGATTGTTGGGTTCAATTTATCTTTTACTAGGGCCCCGATCGCATTACAGAATCGTCCTCTTAATTCCTTCGTCTCAAGGATCTCCCTGGCTGGTCCGACCTCTGTTATCACATAGCATGCCTTATCTGGATATAGATTTCCTTTTCTATCCCCTCGTTTCCTCTTAGGCTTGGTAGTCATGGTTGTGTCTTGAGGTTGTGGAGCAGAGGCATCGTGATCCATCTCTATGGCTATTGCCTCTGCTCTCCTTTCTTCTACTCCGTCTTGTCCAGCGAGATGTCGCGGACGTCGACATCGTCTTTTCCGAGTTTCAGGAGGGACCTATATATACGACAGGTCAAAGTGTTAGCAGAGGTAATACAACCAAAGTTTTAGCAAAATTTATAAGCTAAGGCTTTTTCCCAACCTCGTTGTTCGGGTCAAAATCCTTGTCCAAATCTTCCTCCGTTGGCCTCCTTCTGGCTTCACGTGGGAAAGGATCCTCGGGACTTACATATCCCTCTTCTGAGTCATCATCATCATCCTCTTCTTCTTCGCCTTCATCAGCCTCTCCTGCTCTTCCTTCTGCTCCGCCTTTCTCCTCGTCACACTGCTCCTGAGTAAGCATCACTTCTAGATCCTTTTCTAACTCGTTATCGAACTGCTCCTGAGTAAGCTGGTCCTCTAGTGCTTGCTCCTCATAGGTTGGCTGCTCATCATGCTCGGGGCATTGGGCTACACTTTCTGGTGTCCGCGACATTATTTCGCGCTTTGTTCTAATAGATGCAAGATAGTGTGCTTTAGGTACGCGAGAAGGTATAAGAAATAAAAAGGTCTATAAACCAAAGTAGTCTTATAAAACAACAATATATAAAAAAAGACGAGTAGTAGCAGTAGTAGAGGCCTCAGAAAGATGTCAATCATCATCTGATCTTGAACTTGGAGCATCAAGGCATCATAACAGAGAAGAGATGAGAAGGTAATGTAGGGGCGGCTGCTAATGATGCCAAGTTTCTCACAAGTTCTTAATCATCAACTCATATTCCATATAATGTATGGACTTAGGCAATTTCATCATCGGCAAAACAAAGTAGAGGAGAGGAGAGGGGAGATTTGGCAAAAAAAGCAACAACTGCTTAACAAACATAGAGCAACAACTAATGGCAAAAGTAGTCAAAATGTTGCTTAACAGACATAGAGTAGTAAGTAGTAAGTAGCAGCCACAGTTTGGGCTATTGGCCCATGCATAAGCCCACCTAGTAGTAGGAGCATGAGTAGTAGTAGTAGTAGTAGTAGGAGTAGTAAGAGGAGGAGTAGTTGGAGGAGTAGTAGGAGTAGTGGTAGGAGTAGTAGTAGTAG